TGGTTTTATACAGAGGCAGACCTCTCTTCACGTGCCCTAGATTTACATGCGTGTGTGTTGTGGGGCAGGCTCCCCCTCAGGCTTACAGCCCTGTCATCATCGGGGTCATCCACACCCACGTGCCTGTCCACCTGCCCTCACCCCGTGTTTCCGCCTTTCTTAGTCCCGAGGTCTTCCAGTTTCCCGATCCCGGTAAGCCCGGCCCTTAGATAGTGGGGCCTGCCTGGCCCTAAGTGCTGCGGAGAGGGAGGGGGACTCGGGCCTGCCCCCGCTCCGGGTCCCGGCCCAGAACCCTAAAGACAGCAAAGTGGGTACGCTGTCTGGTTGGCGGGGGGTTTCCCGTAACTCACCAACCCTCGGGGTATGGGGCGACTCCTCCTCCTGTCCCCATCCTGGGCCACTTCCTCCTTCTTGTGGCAGGCAGGGGTCCTTCCCGTTTCTGTTCACTGGTGTTCTCCCCCGCCTCCCTTTTCCAGCTCTCCGGGCTCTCCCCTGGCTTTCCTCCCCTGCTTTCAGGGCTCTCCCCCGGCTCTCCTGCCCTGCTCTCCGGGGCTGGGCGCCATTTGAATGGGCTGCCGGACGTGGTCCCGCTCTGCCCCTCCGGGCGCGGGCTGATGACATTGGGCCGGCCCCAAACTGCTCCCGAACAGGCCGGTCAGGAGCGCCGGGGGGTCGCATGGGTGCCAGGGTGCTCAGCGCTCCCTGCCTCCTCCGTCAGGCTCTCAGCGGCCCACTCGCCACCCAGCGCATCCACGGGTGACTGGGGAGTGCAGGGCGCCATGGACTCTGCTCGTCCGGAGCCCGGTGCCCCATCACGGTGTGACTTGGGTAATACTGTTAGGGAAAAAAAACTATGCAGATGGAAACGAGCGGAATCTGGCAATCAATGGTAAGCAAAATGTCTCGTAGGACACACATAGAACCCCAGTAGGTTCTTTGACTAGGGACTATCCTTATTGGGTATTTGGAAAGCAGTCAGTGCAGAATGAGCACTGCATACATAAAATATTAGCAGTCAAAGGGTACATCTACACTGCAACTCTATTTCGAAATAACTAGCGCTATTCTGAAATAACTTAGTCCACGCCTACACAGCAGGCAGTTATTTCAAAATAGTGTCAAAATACTGTCAAACTGGAGGATTCCTTACTCCAACTCTGACGAGGAGTAAGAGAAGTTGGAGGAAAAGTGCTCTATTTTGAAATAAGTGCTGTGTAGATGCTCCCAATTTCAAAATAAGCTACGTAGCTTATTTTGAGTTAAACCCTGTTGTGTAGACGCACCTATACATACATCATATAACCACATCAACATTGACATTAATGATCAGATTTTGATGAAATTGTAGATTCTCACAAGGGGTTTCTGAAAGTTGAGGTCCTGAACGTTCTCAAAATGGTATATACATAATAAAACTAGGACAATAATAATTAATGACTCCAGATACCTGATCATGTGCTTCTCTTACAGTGCACATCTATGACAGGGAGCATACGCCCTGTGGGGATCCACAGATGAAGTTTTTGTCCCAATAGAAACAGAAGTGGGAGAATGGCAATTCCTGTCCAATCTCCCAAAGTCCCTGCAGGAGAGGTGGTAAGATAGGAAACTGAGCCACAGATTACATTCTAAAGAAATCATCTATTGCTTCCAGGAGATTTGAAGTCTTGCAGGGAATTTTATTCCTAACTGTGTTTCTGAGTTCTCTGTGGGTCTGCAAGAGCAGAACTGCAGAATGAGTGGGTGTGAATTCCATCCTCTCTTTCTTTTCTGGTGCTGTGGCAAAACAGCTGAGCCAGCTGACCTAGATATATTTTCAAAAATCCTGATTTGTGTGCACACAGCACACATTTGTAAATGCAAACAAGCACTTTTGCATACAAATCAGGTTGGTGGGCACATTGTTATCCACTTCATATGCCAGAATTTTTGTGTATGCAAATTGAGGTTTCTAGTCACAGTTATTTTTCTCATAACAAATCAGTGGAAATCTGGAAGATGTCTTGTCTCCTTGCCAGAGATTAAAGAGGGAGAAAGAAGGACCTTTCTCTAAAGGCACAGAAAGAGATTTGTGCTTTATATAGCATTGTTTCTTTACAATGTTTATTTCCCTTGCTTGCTTCTGCTATTTATTTCTGTCATATCTTAGGGAAATATGACATGTGACTTGGGACTATGACATTTTTGTATTATTGCAGTCATGGGAAAAGAAATCTTACAAACAGTGGAAAATGGCTCTCTGTCTTGCATGAATCACAGAACCTGGGTCTGTTCAGCAGCATTAGTCCCAGCCTGTTCTCAGGATCCTCTCTCATGCCTGTGCTGCTATTTTAAGGGGAGATTCTAAATAAGAAGTTGCATTAAAGTTTTAGTTGGAATGGGTTTAAATACGTTACAGTGAAACATCATGAAAAACATGTATGTTTGTCTGTATGTGCATCAAGCATTAATAACATTTTTTTTAAAAAGGCTAGTGAATCAAACTCATACAATTCTTACTAGAGAACAGAGATGGATGAGAACCAAAATCTCAGCTCCAAGTATCTTCACACTTCAGCTGCTTCCAGCTGCTGAACTTGGCTGTGAATATCACACTGACTTCTTTCTAGGATTGTTGTAAACAACCCCAGAATCAAACATCCCCAGACTTTGGGGGCATTTGAAATCTGGGCCTAGACCCAGATATTTAGAGCAGGGCAGGACCCCATCTCCACCAAATATTGTCCTTACCTTCAAGGAAAAAGCATATGTGGAAAATAAAGTGAGAAGAGCAAGACTTTGCTAGGTGTAATCACATTCTTGACCATGGCTGAAACAAATCTTAACTGATTAGTGCAAAGCATAGAAGAAAAAGGAATAAATGCTACAAGACCAAAAGCAGATGTAAAGCTGCAAGGAAAAGGAATAAATGCTACAAGGGTTATCAGACCAAAAGCAGATGTAAAGCTGCAAGGATAGCAGTAACAATTGTGATGAGATTTTCAGTAGGGCTGCAACAGCCAGGATTGATGAGACCTGACACAAGCTGTAGGACCAGGCCTAAAGTAATCCACTAATGAATATGTGCTACAGGTCCTCCCCTATGCCTTATTTGTTGGCTATGAGTCTATTACAGTCTCAGTTACAAGGCCATGGCTCTTAAGCTTATACTCATATTTTTCTATTTCTGGAAGTCCCTGGTTCAATCCGTGATGCCAGCCATCCATGTAATGGAAGTTCAAGGAGTCAGAGATATTTAGAAGCAAATAGGTAACAGTGACACACAATGGAGAACCTACTATAAAGGGGAAAAATTATAGAATAAGTGGAAGAGAAGCTCTGTGTCATGTATTGTAACTTCACAGTGTTGTCAGAAAAAACCCACAGCAAAGAAAAAAATGTAGTCTATTTATGGTATTTTAACCACTTAGTCGCATAAGGGTGGTGCAAAGCAACCTGCTTCACGGGAAGCTTTATGAGCAACCAAGATGTGTCTGAATGTTTTGGCACAGGGAGAGGATGAATTTCCTCTTTCCCCTCCCTTTGTGAGCATAGGCACAGATGATTTCTAGGCCTGAGATCTTTCTCTCCCACTCTATAAATCCATGACAGAAACCAGCTGTCCTACTGTTTCCACATCTCATTATTGTCTATTGTATCCAGCAATGATGGATAAGCAAATGTCTGTTAAGGAATGTTTCTAACAAAATGAAGCAGCAGTGAAATAGTAAATGATGTTGACATTAAATTGTGAATAGGTTTCAGAGTAAACATTCCATTGTTATGAGTGGGGCAATTCTCATTACTTTTGTAACTCTTGCTTTAGCCTGTCTGCAGACTCAAAACAACTCCGTATTGGTTTATAGTGTTTGGAAGATTTCTTTGCAACCAAAGGTGCTAGAAACATAATTTTAAAAAATAGAAAACTTCCAGAACATGGTTCTCTGGTGAGAGTGTGTGGATGCCGATTCATGGAATACACGAATTTGTACTACATGCATAATACATTTAGTAAAAATCAATCACAAAGTGCATAGTGTGACTGGAAATTGTATATCTACAGGGGCATTTTTAGTCTCCTTTTGTAAATGCTTGTGCCCAAATCCTGAGTTGTGTCTAAAGAGCACTTGGTGTAGCTTAAGAGGAGTCACCTTTGCTGCCCCTTCAACCTAAGCCCATCCTGGTGCCTGGCTGGTTCTGGGTATGAAGTAGTAGAGCAACCTGAAAGTTGCTCTGTTTTATGCTGGAGGCCTGTAGTCCTTAGTACCATTCTGGAAAAAGATCATGAGGGCAGAGATATGTGCTGGCCACGCTCCTTTTCCCCTCACCATTATCCCCATGTTGGTGGAAAGGTGGTGTAGGCTTTACACTTATGCAGAGGAAATCCTTCAATGGCTGGCTACATTAGATTTAGGACACTTTTCTCTGCTGGAATAGTACAAGAATGTCCCTTAAAGATTGAGGCTTTAGGGTTTGATTTTTAATGGGAGTCGTGCTTGAGGAAAGAATTTAGTCTCAGAACCACAAAACATTATTGATACAAGTGGAATGTGTGTTCCATTAGGCTTTGTCTACACTGCAAGTTTTTGCGGCAGAAAATACACTAATGAGGATCTCCTTAGCATAAGTCGCAATATCATTAGCATATTTTCTTCCGTTTCTTTTTGTGCAAGGGATTTTTGCGCAAAATGAAGCAGTGTAGCTGCTTCCATTTTGTGCAAAAATCCTGTTTTGCACAAGATCCTTATGCCACTTTGGGAGAGGCATTAAGATCTTGTGCAAAACCCCCGTTTTGCACAAAACGGAAGCAGCTACAACCAGACTTTAACAAACCTTTTATTTTACAGACAGACACGACCTAGGGTTGGGGGCGGTATTAGCCCAGGAGGAGGAGGGGGCAGAACATCCAGTACTGTATTTAAGCCGTAAACTATTTCCCTGGGAAAAGGGGTACGCGACCATCGAAAAGGAAGCTCTGGCCCTCAAGTGGGCCATTGACTCTTTGCGGTATTTCCTCCTAGGTGACAAATTCACCCTGGTAACAGACCACGTGCCCCTCCAGTGGATCCAGAGTATGAAGAACATGAACCCGTGCATATTAAGGAGGTACTTAAGTTTGCAACCATACCAGTTTGAAGTAAATCATCGATTTGGCACCGCAAATGCAAATGCAGATTGTTTATCGCGGATACCAGAGTGTGAAACCAGAGAGGTGGCAGGGATGGGTGAGGGTCCAAGGGGGAAGGTGTGTGATGGAGCAGACGGCCCAGTCGCGCTGCCCCTCACTAAGGGACGCGACGGGAGGGGGGAAGAACGGCTGG